GCCAGAGGAAAACAAAGCACAAACCGACAACCAGTTTACAGGTACTCTGCATTCTTATGTTTTCCTCCAGATCATCTGCTATTATGTACTTTTTCAGGAATCTCAATTAGAGGCTCTGTGCATTCTGGTTTTTACAGCTGCATTCTGTGGAAGAGATAGGATGGAATATGGAATGTGCTTAACTCATCTTTCCTGGAACTGGAAATACAGTGACTGTATAAAGTGTATTTCCCATAAACAGTATTCAGTTAGTTCTTGCTTTTATTTGGTCTATCTCTGCCTTTCCATTGGCATGTTTAGACCATTCACACTGAATGTAAATAGCAACTAAGTGCATTATCTTTCCACTCGTATCCATCTGTTTGTGCCTCTTTTCCTGTCTTCTGAGCTGATTAATATCTAGAATTCCACTTTAGCCCTACTTATAGCTTACTAGCTGAATTTGGTAGTTTGGTCTAAAATTTGTTAGCTCTTATTTTAGGATGGACAGTGTAATTTATTGAAGTTTGCCTTCAAACATCAGATCACTTCATGTATAGCACAAGAAAACACGTTTTCTTGTTAATTTTGTTTTATCATTGCCAAAACATTTTGCTGCTCCTTATTTTGAAACCCATAAAATTTTGTTTTTTACTTCTCCATGCTTTGAAATCCACAATACAGCATTTTTGCTTCAGTGAATTATCCTTTAAGAAACTAAATAATGAGAATATAAAGCCTCCTCTGTGTACTCACACAACTACCAGTTTTGTCATTTTACATTGCTTTACTTAGATCCCAGTTTCTGCTTCGGGAAATTTCCACCTGAGGAACCTATTTACATATACCTTGTACTACCCATCTGTTCAGTCTTTTTCTTCTGAAAAAGTCTATATAATTCTCCTTGATGGAGAACCCAGGCTGGCAGTCTCTTCCAGCACTTTGAAAATGTCATGTGATTATCAGCTGACTTAAGAAGCTTATGCTAAATAAGGTAGGTGGTACTAGAAGGCAACATTAGAGTCACACACTTGCTTCACAGTATCCAAGAAAATTGAAGGGCAAAGTAAGAACCAATTATGCTAAGGATTATTAGGCAAAGAATAGTTGCGAATTCAAAATTTGACCAGTCATCAAACAATACTGTGTTGACATTAGGTCCGAGAGAATTTTAAGGGTCATCAACCTTAAACATTACCTTAAATTTCCCCCAAGTTTAAACCATGAATGGACTAGCACTCTATGCTACCAGCAGTAGACAGCAAAGATCACAGTGAAGGAGCACTTCCATTTCCAAATGTCAATGCAAACGTTGGAAGCAGACCAGACTAAAAGCAAAGACAGAAATGAGGGTTTATCCCTGCAACGCCTAGTGTTCCATTTTTGAAACGTTCATAACAATGGAACATAATAAATTTCTCTTTAAATTCTTGTTTCTTGAATTTTTCTAGGTAACATATATGAATTTCAAGGCAAAAATTCCAAAACTTGTAATCTTTGGCATAAATGGGTTAGAAGGGCTTCATTTGTGTTTGCCTCATTTCAGTTTTGCTATGCTCAAGTCTTCTGGAGACAGAGGAAATGACACCATTAGGCTTTTATTTCCCATTAGGCTTTTATTTCCACTGCGACCTCAGGGTGAGAAAATGACAACAAGGGGCAGCTTTTTTCTAAGGGTGTTTCTTTGCATCTATTTTTTTTTTTTTGGTACCAGGGATCGAACTCAGGACCTTGCGCTTGTGAGGCAGGCAGCAGCACTGAGCCAAATCCCCGGCCCTTCTTTGCAACTATTAATTCAATTTATGCATCGACAGTGAAATCAAAGCCACCTCAGAATTTTATGAAACAGATTAAGAGAATGACCACCTGAGCTTTAAAAGAAATAGTTCAGCAGAGATGAGACTGAACACCCTTCGTCATCTGCCCAGATCATATTTCAGCTTTCCCCAGAGCCAACCTCTATGTGAATCTAGTGGTTATCATTTTTAAGTGTTGCTCAACTTTTTCTAAATTCATGTATGTACAGTTTTTATATTTTAAAACATCATATAAAATGATACACTGTAGAAGTCACTGTGTAATTTTTTTGTCCGGTTTGCTTCTGAAGTTTACTTATTTATTTTGTAGTGCTGGAGACCATCAGTGTTGTGTGGTTTTTTTTGGTACCAGACCTCAAACGGGACCTTGTGCTTGCGAAGCAGGTGGCGGAACCACTGAGCTAAATCCCTGGCCCCAATGTTGTTTTTGATAGGCACATACAACGTGTAACTTATCTGCCCTAGAGATTTTATTCTACTTAGCCACCATATTTACCCATCTTCTGACAGACATTCAGGTTGCTTCCATCCAACCTTTCACTTCTACAAATTTCTACAAAGATTTTTATACACAAGTTGTGAGAGAGACTGTTCAGAGTACGTACGGGCCTAGAAAAAAATTTTCTGGGTTGTAGGAATACATTTAGACTTACTGTGATGATATGCAACTGTTTTCTTAAGTTATATCAAATAAAACTACGAGTGAAAGAGTATGAAAGTTTCATCTGGCTAAAATATTGCAGCATTTTGCATTGGTAAGCTTTATGTACTTGTCTCCCTCCCACAGCTGATGGATGAGAAAGTGTCTCATAGTTCTAGTTACTTAGTTTTTCCCCAATTCAGTAGTGATATGTGCTATCTGTTCACGGAGACTTGTACATTCCCCATGTCTATCCTCCAGGAGGCTGTTATGTAATAAAGGTGCAAACAATTCCACGGTCACTGTGATGTTTGGAGCTGCGTATGTAGGTGAGAACTAAGGTATTAAGAATACAAGTGAACAACCAATGAAGTTAAACCAAAGGACTGTCAGATCTGATCAGCTCTTGCACCCTGGGTAATACGTGAACAGGTGCACGGGGTAGTAGAGGGGATTCTAGACAAAGCTATTTTGAATACAGCAAATACTGACTGATACTCTCTTTAATTTATAATTCTGTTGTGATATTCCTCTTCACTCAGGAAATAAAAACACTTTCTTTTAGTTTTATTTGCATCTTATTAGATAATAGTTAATATATTATTATTAATATAATACTATAAATGTAATACTGTACTGTAATAATGTAAAAAATTTTTCATAATTATTTTATGAGCTATGTAATCTCTATTTCAAGAAGCAGAGATTAAGGGCCGGGGATTTAGCTCAGTGGTTTCGCCACCTGCTACCCAAGTGCAAAGACCTGAGTTCGATCTCTGGCACCAAAAACAAAAAAAAAAGAAGCAGAGATTAAAAAAAATTTAAATGTCTTCAATTAAATGATATACCAACTAAAATTTATGGAGCTGGCAACCTCAAAAATATCTTACTTTAGCATCTGTTACATTGTTACAAATACAGGAAACATAAAATATGGCTGTAAAATGAATAGCTTGTTTATTTAGGAATCAGTAAAATATCTTCCCCCTTTTTTTCTCACCTGCTTTTACTGAAAATGGCTTTTCTAGTAGAAATACTGTTTGTTTCCAGTGTGTTTTGGTACTCTGGGGTCCCGTAGAGAACACGACCTGCATTGGTAAAGTTCAAAAGTATCTGATGAAAGTACAGGATTTTTAATATCACAGTACATTAATCTACTAAATCAAATACAAGCTCCAGTTGCTTACAACAGCAAAATGCTTATGGACCAAACACCTTGGGGCACAAAAATAGAATACAATGTACTCTGCATAATTAATTCTTATGAATAACTCATGATACTTACCCTCTTGTGGCAATTCTTCTCAAAATATATATCAAAGTAGCCAGCAATTGCCTGTATTTTTTTTAAAAAGGGGAATACAAATGATTATTAAACTGATATAATAATTATTTGATCTTTTAAAACATGGCAAATATATATCATTTCAAAGACCATATGCCTCTTAAACTTATAGCAGATCACTATTTTTCCCAAGAAAGATGTTACAAGTAAAAATGAATACATGTACCAACTCCCCACAAGGAATTGTAATCATTATGTAATGCAAGCACGTACTAATAAAAAAAGCTGAAGAAAAAGATGTTATAAGTAAAAATGAAGTAATCTAGTTTGGCTTTTCCCCACAGAAACAACAAATGATAAGGGTAATAGGCAAATCACATAATTGCTACACGTTTTATTAGAGAAATGATCAGGTTAGAGTACAAAAGGTGAGACCAGGAGAGAGAGGTCCAGCAGTCCCGAGAGCCCCAGACTCGGGGCTGAGAGGCTGACAGGGCCATAGGCCACCATGGGCTATGCAGCCCCAGCCAGGCCTCAGGCCATGCCCGCTACCGTAGGACTGCCCTCATCCCCAGAGACCAGCAGAAGCGCACTCGAGGCAGGTTCGGTCTAGGCTGCAGATGATAAACAAGGAAATACAAATGTGGCCTCAAGCAATATTTTGGGGATGGCTTAATGCACAGCAATAAACAATGGAAACAGATTCTTTTAGACAAAGCCAGTTTGTTAATATCTTCTGATTGAGTATGTCTCAACTTTAAAACATTAAGAATAGGGCCGGGGATTTAGGTCAGTGGTTTCGCTGCCTGCTACGCAAGCACAAGGACCTGAGTTCAATCCCTGGTACCAAAAGAAAACAAACAAACAAAAATAAAATATTAAGAATATATCTGTGATAGGAGCAATAGTAATAATGTAAAATTTTATTGATCTTGAATGGTTAATATGGATTGAGTCCAAAGAAAATTCAATATTTAAGCTTAAAGTTCATTATATTTAACCAAGAAAGAAATAAAATATTATTCATACCCCTGCCAAATAAAATTATAAACAAATGTGGTACTGAGCTATAGATAATCAAATGAAACCACGTAATCAGAATATATTTCTAAAACTTTTTTCAATTGGTTTTCTAATACTTAAGATAGATAACCCTCCATAGACTCATTCAATTATTTTCTTCAGTTTACTCCTGTATGCCTGTATTCCTTGTTCATCACTATATGCTTACTGCCCAGGGCAGTACCTGGCCCATAGTACAAAATAGGTATTTGCCGAATCAATGTGCTTATTATACATAATTCTATTATATAGTATTTAGCATTCTATATCATTGATTATAATTTATATTTTTATTTCCAAACCTCTCAACTAGCAAAACTTTATACAGAAAGTTCTTAAAGACTTTTAGCAAACTAAATTTTTCAATTTTTAGTCTCTAAATTATGACTAGCCTTACTATATGGTAGGATAATTTATTAAATTACTGTCCTTTATATATTAAGTAGCTACAAATTAGTAACAATACACCAAAAGACACGAGCAAAAATTAAAGCAAAAAATTTATAAAAGAAAAATCAAATGATTTATAAGTCTGTGAAAAAAGTATGACCTATTTAAGGGGGTTAAAAAAAAGCAAAATCACCAGATCCAATTCTCCCCTGGGGAGAGAAAGGGACTGGAGGCTGAGGTCATCGCTAGTGGCCAGCAACTGAATCAATCATGGCAACGCGGCAGAACCTTCATTAAAACCCCAAGAGTGAGGGCTTCGGGTTTCGGGCTGGTCAGTGTAACCCCCATGCCCAGGGAAGGTGCTCTCCGCCTTCATAAGCTGGTTCCTTCTGGACCTTACTCTCTCTGTTCCTTTCCATTTACAGCACTGATAATCTCCTCTGTAATGATAAAATGGTAAAATAATGTGTTGCTCTGGGTTCTGTGATCTATTACTGAGAAGTAGTGAAACTGAGGAGGCTGTGGAAATCCTAGGTCTGCAGTCACTGTGGACAGAGTAGGGCTAAGCTGGGACCCATCACTTGCAACTGAAGTCTGAAGACGGAGTAGTCTTTGCAGGACAGTGCCTTTAATCTGCGAAATCTGTGCTAAATCTGGTAGTGTCACATATGATTAAACCGTAGGACACCCAGTGAATGTCACAAAGAATTGGAGAATTGGTTGCCAGTATGGTAAATCCAAATGTGGCATCACAAGGTTACAAGCAAAAACAGTTTTTCTTTAAATACTTTTTCACCATCAAAAGTAGTACTTAGGAAGTCACAATATTCTTCAGGTGGAAAGCATGGTGACAAAAGCTTGGTATGTTATGGGCACACACCGTATGTTGTGCAAATCTGCTGTGCAAATGTATGTATCTGGAAAGATATTCACCAAGCTACTGATGGTAGATGACAGACTTGTAATACTCATTTTCTTTGTGCTTATCTACACTTATAATTCCAACAAAAATGAGCAGCTACTGTGAAAATGAATTATTTTTATAATGCTTAAGTTTATTTATAATATCATACAGGCAGACATTCAACTCAGTTACTGCCTGTGTCTCAGTTCCCTTAGTGCCCACCCCACCCATCACTCATTTTTGTGCCCTCAGCGGGGCAATGTCTAACATGCAGCAGGAAGGAACTATGTGGATTTGGGGAAGAACAATTCCGCAATAATAACATTTTCCAACAAAGAGATTTCTATAGAACCAAGAAAAAGCAGTGATAAAAGATAATGGAATAGCCATAGTAGTAATTGTTGAACTATATGAAAACATTAAAAAAAGCTTAGACCTGAGCCTGAAATACAAAATACGTGGAGAAACAGGTTTTTCAACTCTGGTAAACAACAACAACCCCAAAACATACAAACAACAACAAAACCAACAGGTTGGCATTAACTATATCTGAAGACAGGCTGATACAGGAGTTCATAAAATTTAAAAACATAAAAAAGATTTGAAAATGTAAAGATATTTCAGGACTATCCCAATCCCCAAATCTGTGAATTTTAGTTAAAGATCAAAAAAGAAGCAAATCCTACTGCAACACCCCTAACCCAGTAAGACAGTGAAAGAAGTATTGATTTTAGGTAACCAATAATTAGAGATAAGTTTAAAGAAAAAGAGAAAAATGAAAACGAGAGGTTTTTGTTTTTTGGTTATAAGTATTTGGGAAGGGATTTAAGACTAAGATAAATCTGAAAATACATTTATTTTATAGTTCTCTTTGAAATGCATCATTCTGCCTTCAACTCCCCAAGCAGATTTTCCTTCTTGATGTCTGATTTAAAGTAATACTAAAAATCACTTCTAATGGCATACATGAAGAAGACAGCAGAACCAAGAGATGAAGTTACGAAGAAATTCACCTCGGTTTAAAAATTAGATAACTGTCTCTTCTCAAAGTTTGCTTTCATATGACTGAGAAAGTGGAACACTCTTACTCTGAAAAAACAAAGGGAAGTTTCTAATAAAAAAAAAAAGTATTTATTCTCAAACACAAGAATAACTCCTAAAGAGACAGGGTTTCTTATTTATTTTTATTTTTTGGCCCTATAGTAGTTTCCCCTTACCCACGGTTTGGCTGTTTTCTCAGGGTCAACTTTGGCTTGAAAATAGTACATGGAAAATTCCAGAAATAATTCAGAAGTGTGAAATAACTTTCATTACAGTATAATCATACATTTGTACTATTTGTTGCTAATCTCTCCCTGGGCCTAATTTATAAGTTAATCATAGGTATATATGTATAGGAAAAATATACCTAAGGTTTGGTACTATCCCTGGTTTCGGGAATCCACTAGGGATGTTAAGCTATCTTCCAAAGGTAAGTGGGACTACTTAATAGTTGGAGATACAAAGTAAAAGTCAAGAAAAAAAACTTTAAACTTGACATGTAGTTATACAAACCAACTGAACTATATGATTAGTGTTTTTATTTCTGATTAGCCATTTGAAAAAACAGTGATGTAATCAGTCAAACATGCCAGGTAATTTGAGAACTATTTTGCCTAGGGAACATTACATGCTACGACTTTTCAATTATAGTTTCACCACCTTGTTAACAGTCACCTTGCAGGCTATCTTTAGGTCTTTGAAATGTTAATTTCAATGAACTCGTGAGCTCCCTGTGGAAGTCACTCAAACATAAGAATAAACAACCACAACTGCAAATTGGAAGTGATGACTAATAGGTAATAGCAATAAATAACTGGAGCTACAACTTGACATGTGCTTGGAAAAGATCAGATAGGTGAGAAGCCTGACCACTGAAAAAATTTCTCCTTTGTCTCACATACACTTCTTGTCAGAAGCATTAGGAACTGAGGAAAACAAAAAATGTGCTAAGATCATGTACCTCACAGGAGCTGGGCTCATGTGCAAAGGCAAAGTCATAAGTAAATAAAATTTCACTGAATTACACTAGAGTCAGAAAAATCTGAGTCTGTGGTAATGATAATTATAATAAAAACAACAGTGATGATGACAGAAGAAAACAGAAAAAAGGAAAACTCAAGCATCCAGTAAATTTCTGGGATAGTTTGATCATTTTTGAAATTTGAGAATCTTCCACAATTACTCTGAAGCACATAGGAAATCAGTACAAGCATATACCATTATTGCACATTCTAAACATATTCCTAAGCATTATAATACAGTTTCAGAACTGTTCATCTCTTTTGTGGATTTCACAAAAAGGAAAAAAAAAAGCATTAAAAATCTGTTTTAAGCCACATTTTGTTTTTTTCCACACACACACACACACGTACACGTAAATGCAGCTCATTTTATACAAGCTCATGTGAAGAAAATGATATGGAGTAAAAAATTACTTTTTCATGTATTTCGTGTGATGAGGCTTTCTTAAAACAGGACGCATCATATATGTATGCAACAGTGAATGAAATAAGCTCAGACCAGACCGTATGAAGAAGGAAATTAAATATTATCATTATCACTATCACCTGCAGGGAGTAATTTATCATTTCTGTTCTTCATCGGTATCATGTTCCAACAGCATGTGGTTACAGCAGATACAATTAGGCAGCTG